GTACATATGTATAGGTACTGTCCAATGGTCAAGATCCCCCAGTGAAGACTTAGAGATTCACTAGAAGGACTCAGAATTATTCAGCCTAGATATATAATAATCAAAAACAGAAAAAAACAATATAAAACAAAATCAGCACAGTACAAAAGTATATGAGGCTAAATCGAGAGTAAGCCAGGCTGTACCTCCCTGAGATTAATATTTTTAATTGATACCCTTTGTACAACAACTTAAAGATTAAGAAAAAATACTTTTATCTAAGTGGTTCAAGCACACTAAAATACTTTCACCTGTTGGAAGTTGGTGGGGCCATTCTTGAAATCCTAATTTCTAGGGGCCAGTCAAAGACAACCAGCCTGGCTAATAGACTTTCAGGAGGAATGTCTTAGGTTGTTATATTGCTATAACAACACATTGGAGAGGAATAATTTATAAGGAAGAAAAATGATTTGTTTCCTAAGTGGCAGCTAAGTGTCCATGTCTGATCAGCTTAGGCCTTGTTGCTACAGAATGTTGTGGTGGTGGAAGAAGATATGACAGTGTTCACATGCACAAGAGAAAGCAAAGGAGTAAGCCCACAATCTTGACCCCTTTATAGGCAGTGTTAATCAATCTACAAGGACAGAACACTTCATTACCTATTAAAGGTGCCATCACTTTTTAATGCTGTTGAACTGGGGATTTATTTCCCAGCACAAGCTCCCATAGGCCTACACTAACCATGGCAGATAGCTTCATCATGTCACACCTGCTACTTAAGTTTTTTATTGCATACCAGATTTATCTTTCCTACTGTTCCGCTTATTAATAACTTGCCCTATTTTAGTAATCCTTCAAATAACAAACATGGAGAAGCAGAATAAATTAGTTCACTTGTATGTTCATGAACAAACCTTTTAAAGATTTAAGAGAGAATGATGTGGAGAATGCATATACTAGCACTCATATATTTTCTGTATGTTTCTGTATGTTTCATTCTTTCCTACTCAAAACCTGTACATTTCATACAAGTTGGGTTTGCTTCATAATTTCTATATTCTACATTTTATTCAATTATTTTTTTCTGGAAGTACTGTGATTTGAACTCAGGTCTTTTTACTTGCTAGGCAGTTGCATACTTCCTGTAGTTGCTTTTGAGATACTATCTTATGGATGACAAGTGCATACTAATATGCTCAGCTTTTTCTAGGCTTTTTGCATAGGCTGTCCTAGAACTACATCCCATTACCTCCACAGCTTCCACGTAGCATTGACTCAGTTTTTCTAATGATACCATCTTTCACAACTATGGTTTTTGTACAACCAGGACATTGGCACTGGTGCATTCTGGATTTACTCAGATTTCATCCATGTTTCATGTATTTGTGTGTGTGTGCATGTGTGTGTGTGTGTGTGTGTGTGTGTGTGTGTGTGTGTCTTTGGTACTCTGCAGTTTCCTTTCTTGTGCAGATCCTAGTAACCATGATGACAATCAAGGGAGAGAATAGCTATTTCCCCACAAGGATTTCCCCAAACCTTTTGCTACACAACAGCATTCCTCTGTGCTCTCACTTCCCAACTTTCTCTTAATTTCTGACAGCCACAAAGCTTTTCCCTGTGTCTATGTCATTTTTAAAATATTAAACACATACAACCATTTGGGACTGAGCTTTTTTCCTCAGCAATATCTCCTGGACATCTAGCCAAGTGCTACATGTCAGTGACTATTCCCTGTTATTAATGAGCAGTGTTCCATGAAATGTGGTTCCACTAACCATTCACCCATAGCTAGACTTTAGATTATTGCAAATAGAGCTCCTATAAATATTCATGAGTTTCTTTATAAAAGTAATTTTTACTTTTCTTTGATAAGCATCATAAAATGCAGTTGTTGGATTGTGTAGTTATTCATAGTTATTTTCATAAGAAACTTACCAGAAAAAGATGAGAAACACACTTCTTTCACATCCTTTAAAACCTTGATTACTGTCACTGTTTAGTTATCCTGATAGATGTGGAGCATTATCGCACTTCAGTTTTAATTTCCGTTCCCCTCTGGTCCAATAATGTGGTACACTATTCCCTAACCATGCTTGCTCTCTGAGTAAACTCTTAGATGAAATGTCTATAGCTCATTTTCTAGTTGAATTTGTGTGTGTGTGTTGAATTTGAGAGTTATTTGTGTAGTCTGAAAACTAGTTTCTTCTTTACTATTTTGTGTTTGGCATGTATTTTATCCTATTATATCCCTTCCCTTTTTATCCTCTAATAAAGCATTTTACAGGGTAAAAGTTTTAAATTTGATATTCAACCTATTGTTTAATCATGTAGAGTTGCTTCTATGTCAAATCTAAGTATTATCTCTTCTCTTACCCTAAGTCTTCAAGATTTTATTCTAGTTTTTAATCTGTTTTATAAAATGTTTTATAACTGTGTTATATATTTAAATGTACTACTTACAAGAAAAACTTTCAACACAAAGCAACACCTTAGAATTAACTTTGTAAATGGTGTGACACTAGATGTGTTTTGCCACTGTATAATTGATGTAGTCTGTTCTGGGGTAAAGGAAGCTGCTGACGCTAAGTGAGAAGTAGCAGACTGGGCTAGAAACAGACTTGAGGTCATCATGAGAATATCATTCCATGAATTATATTTTGTCACACTTTTCTACTCTAGCTTTCTGTTTAGTTGACCCAAGTAATTGGAACAATAAGAAATAAAACACAGAAAATATTTATAGTGAAAATATCGTATTTCCTTATTATCTTTCCAGAAAGTCAAATAAATAATATTAATCTAAATTGTCCCTCCCTCCTTCATTAACTCCCTCCCTCCCTCTCTCCCTCCCTCTCTCCCTCCCTCCCTCTCTCCCTCCCTCCCTCCTTCCCTCCCTCCCTCCCTCCCTCCTTCCTTCCTTCCTTCCTTTTCTTCTAATACTGGGGCTTGAACTCAGCACTTGGGTAGTCTCTTAGCTTTTTCACTCAAGGCTGACACTATAACTTGAGCCACAGCTCTACTTCTGGCATTTACTGGTTAATTGGAGATAAGAGTCTACTGGACTTTCATTTCTGGGCTGGCTTTGAAACACAATCCTAATCCTCCTACCTAGGCATCCTAAGTAGCTAATAATAGGGGGGGGTGGGGGGTTATGGGAAGGGGAAACAAAGGAGGAGGCAACAATGCTTGATAAGAAATGTACTCACATAGGTCCCATGGTTTCCCTTATTTGCAATATCTAGTATAGGTATGAGTCAAGCGGAAAAAGTCAAATAATGTGATGTTAGGAAAACGAAACCTCAAATATGTATTTTAATGTTTTTGTTTCTTTCATGCATGTGTTTCTAACACATTTATAATATTATCTCTTTGTTGCTTTGTATGTCCCTCCCCCACAGTGTAACCCCCGCTTTCACTATATTTGATGTCAGTATAACATGTGGAGGAGATGGGGACAAACAAGTCGTTTAAGGATTCAGGTGGACCTGTTGCAACAATGAGAAGTACAAAATGTCATGTCAAAACCAGCTTTACAATGTCGGGGGGGGGGGGGGGGGGGAGGGGTGGTATGATTGGGTGGGAGGGAGGGGGGAGGCTGGGAAGGGAGGTGAAGGGTAAACAAAGGAGGAGGCTGCAATGCTTGGTAAGAAATGTATGCATTATCCTGCCCATGTAATTGTAACCCCTCTGTACAGTATGTTCTCAAATAAAATAAAATAAAATTAAAAAAAAAAAAAAAAAAAAAAAAAAAAAAAAAAAAAGAAATGTACTCATTGGTGGGGGGGAGAAATGTACTCATTATCTTGCCCATGTAATTGTAACCCTTCTGTACAGTATTTTCACAATAAAAATAAAAAAATAAACACACAAAAAGTAGATACTTCTATTATTAACTCTCTTTTAAAAGGATTTTGAGAGTATATTTAAAATGTGTCTTAAAGAAATATATTTTCTGTCTGGGAATGTGGCTTAGTGATAAAGTATTTGCCTAGCATGTATGACGCCTTGGGCTCAATTCCTCAGTACCACATAAACAGAAAAAATCAGAAGTGGAGTTATGGCTCAAATGGTGGAGTGCTAGCCTTGAGCAAAAGAAGCTCAGGGACAGTGCCCAGGCCCTGTTCAAGCCCCAAGACTAGAAAAAAAAGAAATATATTTTCTTCCATCTTTTCAATGGCAATTGGTCTTTACAGTGGCCTTCTAGGCTACACTGTTGCTAGTCTTGCTGACATCAGGTTCCCTTCGTATTCATTTAACATGAATGTCTGATTCTGCATGATTTTATTTTACTGACTTGTGCACAACACAAAAAGCTACACTGCTAGATGTGACTTTTTGACCTGTGGTAGCTTAATTTCTTGGCTTCCCATGTAATAGCAGACAGCTCATTTCTCACAGCTGACAGAGATTGACTTTTTAAAAGAAACCTGTGTCTACAGAAAAATACTACTTCGAAATGCAAAAGTTGAAATTTCTAGGACTATTTTTCATGCCTGTGGATCTGAAGCCAGGGATTAGTTCAATAAAAATGTTCTCACACTGTTCAAGACAACTCCCTGCCCCATTGGTGGCATATCACCACCATTTTCTTCTTAGCTGTAGAAGTGAGCAGAGTGCCAACAGTCATTCAGGTTTCAAAGTATTTTGTTTGCAAATAATATTCAGGGTGAGTCAGAACAAGATAACAGAAATCTGAGGCAACATTGGAAGAGATAAATTCAATTGTAAACATACCACAGTTTTCATTCTTAATAACTGATTCATGCATGCATATTCTCAAAAGTCATTTGTTGAAATTTAAAGTACTGTCTACAAGCATTTGTCATAAATAAAATGTAAAATTATAAATATAAAATAATGGCATTCCTAAACTGAATTGTATTACATAAGCAAACTATTAATGTTTCTATATAACTAACATCTTTATAAGATATATATATATATATGAACTGTTTATTTGAGTGTCAACAAATCAAAACTGAAACAATCAGTGACAGAAAAGCATCAATGATAGCAAGATAATGGAAGTACGTAAGTCCAACACTCAAGGGGAAACATTTTAGTGGTTCATTTATGTTTCAAATATTTGTTTTCTAGTCTTTCTAAAAGTAAGTTCTATAATAACTATAATAACTTTAGAAGCAAACATTAATTTTGAATTTTATTTTTACTGTACTACAGGATTTCAAGTTGAAAACTCATTTCATGAACTAGTCATATGCCATGTTGGAATAAGGTTTTAGTTCATCAAACCTTCAGGTTGACATATGTTTAGTGACTGTAACAAAAAAGTCAGGATGAATCATAATCAGTAATGTTTTCTTTGTGTCATAAGAGGGTAATTGGAAATATTACTTTTTTCTGGACTGAGTATTCTGTAAACCAGAAGTAATACACTCATCATTAGATCTAATACGCAAGAACCACTTCCTGAAATTGTATAGAATGCCAGTTTTATAAGCTGGATGTAGAAACAAGTTTTCATAGCTGCTTTTAGTTGCTGAGTCAAAAAGAGATTAATCTTGACAATGATCATAAAATATAGGAGGATATTCTACCTTCCAGATGGTTGCTATTGTTATTTATAACCCTGATATTCTGAATTATATGCTGTTTTTCTGACCAAAACTCATGAATACTGATTAGATAGGCAATAATTTAATTGTGTATCATATCTAAAGGTCCAATTTTCTTCTTAAAAATTATATGCTGGAGAAAATTCTACTAGTGACATATCTGAGAAAGAATATAAATGCCTTTAGTCACTTATTGCTAAAATGCAACCAATATTTTGTCACTTCTTGCTAAAATACAACAACCAAAATATAAACCACCTGGTCAGAAATTGAGTACAAATATTTCATTAAAATAATATGAAGATGCAAAATAATCACATGAAAAAAACATTCAACATCTATATGGCACAGATCAAAGATCCAGAATCACAACAAATCAAAGAAAGACTGTATAAATGGGATTGCATCAAACTGAAGCGTTTCTGCATAGTAAAGGACATAGCCAGTAAGAAAAATAGAAGGGCCACAGAATGGGAGAAGATCTTTACTAGCTATGCATCAGACAAGGGCCTTATTTCCTTTTTTTTTGTGTTGGTCATGGGGCTTGAACTCTGGGCTTGGGCCCTATCCCTCAGCTCTTCAGCTCAAGGTGAGCACTCTACCGTTTGAGCCACAGCACCACTTCCGGTTTTCTGGTAGTTTATTGAAGCATTTCAGGACTTTGAACCAAAATCCTCAAATCTCAACCTCCTGAGTAGCTAGGATTACAGGCATAAGCCACCGGTGCACGGCTATAATTTCTATATATTAGACATTTCTAAATAATCTTGCAGTATAATTTCTATAGCCCAGAATATGCAGAACTATGTGCTGAATCCCTGAGAAAATATGCTTTTATTCTGCATTGTTTCTGTTCTATTATGTACCTTCAGATATTTTTGAAGAGCTATTCTACATGTATGTAATCGTTGGATCAATGCATTATTGATTTATGACCATTGGCTCAGAAGACATTAGATGATAAAATCAACTAAAATCTTCTGTAGCCACTTTCTCTCTCAATACAGCAATGTGACTTTTCTCTTTTAAAACCCATTAAAGGGGGAGGTCCCGCCCACCGGCACCAAGCGGGAGCGCGGGAGCTGGGGGGGAGCAGGGCTGGTCACCCGCACGTGGCCTGGAGACCATGGACATGGTGGGCCCGAGTGCCGGGCGCGGTTGTCCCGCCTGGTCTCCTTCAGCGCCAGCCACCGCCTGCAGAGCAAGTCTCTGAGTGAGGAAGAAAACTTGAAACTCTATGGGAAATGCAACAATCCCAATGTCCACAGGCACAATTACAAAGTTGTGGTGACAGTATACGGAGAGATTGATCCTGATACAGGAATGGTTATGAACTTGACTGACCTCAAAAAATACATGGAGGAGGCCATCATGGAGCCCCTCGAACACAAGAACCTGGACCTGGACGTGGCATACTTTGCGGACACTGTAAGCACAACTGAAAATGTAGCTGTGTTTATCTGGGAAAATCCCCAGAAATTGCTTCCTGAGGGAGCTCTTTATAAGGTTAAAGTGTATGAAACTGACAACAACCTTGTAGTCTATAAGGGAGAATAGTGTGTGTGTGTGTGTGTGTGTGTGTGTGTGTGTGTGTGTGTGTGTGTGTGGTGTTACTGCTGTCAGAAGAATGATTTTTTTTTTCAATACTGGGAAAAGATCTTTAGTCCCTGAGAACATTAAGTAAACAATCTCTGGTGCCTTCGCCTCGTGTTCTGGAGTGTCTGTCTACTGAAATACTTCTAAGAACTGTTGGAAATATACATCTGTTATACCATCAAGCTTGACGCGTACTCTGAAGACGTATCTGCAGCCGGGGAGGGGACCCTGGCCTCGCACTCACTCATGCAATGTGTGCTCTCCCCCCTCCCCGGGGCGTACCCTGGCCCTTCTGCGCGCTACTTGGGGCCTTTTGTCTGTAAATCAAACATGATGTTATTCCAGCAAAATGTCTTGACATGAGATTATCTGAAAGCAGAAGAAATCTATCTGTGTTGCATTCTCTATCATCCCCCTTTTTAGAATTTTCCACCCGTGGTATAAGTGGAAAAAAATGTTTCCCTTTAAATCTTATAAAAAAAATAAAATTCAGGCGACCACAAAAAAAAACAAAAAAAAAAACATTAAAGGTTGAAGAAGTCATTAGAATGTGGAGTGGCTATCTCAGGAATTGATGTGCTACAATTGGAGCTGTTATATTAATGAATGAGAGATTATCATAGAAATGAATCATGTAGCCATAAACTTAAACACTATTAGCTATTAGCATGTCAGTGAAAATGATATGATGTTCTCAAAGACAATGTGCTTTGTCTTTTTTTTAAATCACTTTTTTATTGTGAAAATACTGTAGAGAGGGGTTACAATTACATGAGCAAGGTAATGAGTATATTTCTTAAACAGCATTGTTCCCCCCTCCTTTGTTTCTCCTTTTCATTGCTGCCCTCCCATCTCCCACCCCCCACCCCCAGCCAAAGTTGTAAAGTTCGTTTTTCCACATAAGGTCTTGTACATTTCATTGTTGCAATGGGTCCACCTATATCCCTATTCAAACAATTTTTCCCTTCCCCTCCCCAAATTATACCAACATCAAATACATGGGTTATACCGTCGGGGAGGGACATACAAAGCAACAAAAAATCACGTGGTACCTTATAAATATGTTAGAAACAATAGCAAGAAAGAAAAAAACCTCTTGTGTCCTTATCTTGGGGTTCATTTCACTTATCATCTTAACTGACCTTTTCTGCTTGTCTTAATGGAGAGACAGTGTGAGTAGAGCATATAACTGAATTTTAAAAAACTTTCATAGAATTTCAAAACTAAAAGTGCTCCTGGATATTTAAAGTCTTTAAGATAGTTTCTTTGGCGAAGATGATACTCCTTTTTTTCTTTTTAAAAAAATGCTTTTTATTGAAAAAAATAGTATACAGAGGGGTTACAGTTACATGAGTAAGGAAATGATTACATTTCCTATCAAGTATTATTACCTCCTCCTTTGTTTTTCCCCTACCATCCCTTCCTCTTCATCTCCCCAACTACCTCCCCCAGTTGTAAAGTTCATTTTCTACATAGTGTCTTGTACATTTCATTGTTACAATGAGTCATTCTATATCTTTGTTTCAGCATGTTGTTAATTCCCATCCTCTTCCCAAATTAGAAAAATGTATATACAAGATGCAGGGCACCAGAATCAAATACAGTGACAGTGACAACAGGGGTTATGCCGTGGGGGAAGAACATAGAATAGAAACAAAAAAATCACATCGTACATTTTAGATACATTAAAACAATAGCAAGCAAGAAAAAAACAAGTTGTGCCCCTATCTTGTAGTTCATTTTGCTTAGCATCATCTTATATGGTCATATGTACATAACTTTTGACCTTTTCTGCTTGTCCTAGACATATACTAGTTATTGCAAATGAGGGAAACTATGGGACCTATGTTTCTTTGGGTCTGGTTTACTTCACTTAATATAATTTTTTCCAAGTCTTTCCATTTCAGATGCCCCTCAGTAGATGAATGGATCAAGAAAATGTGGTATACATACACAATGGAATTCTATGTCTCCATCAGAAAGAATGACATTGCCCCATTTGTTAGGAAATGGAAAGACCTGGAAAAATTATATTAAGTGAAGTAAGCCAAGCCCAAAGAAACATAGGTCCCATGGTTTCCCTTATTTGCAATATCTAGTATATGTCTGAGTCAAGCAGAAAAGGTCAGATAAGGTGATGTTAGGGAAATGAACCCTAAGATATGTATTCAAATGTTTTTTTTTTCTTTCATGCATTTGTTTCTAACGCATTTATAAGATTATTTCTTTGTTGCTTTGTATGTCCCTCCCCCACGATATAGCCCCTGTTTTCACTGTATTTGATGTCGGTATAATTTGTGGAGGGGAAGGGGAAAAACAAGTCGTTTAAATAAGGATACAGGTGGACCCGTTGCAACAATGAGGAGTACAAGTTGTCATGCGGAAAACGAACTTTACAACTTTGGTAGGGGGGGCATTGGGTGGGGGGATGGGGGGAGGCTGGGAAGGGAAACAAAGGAGGAGGCTACAATGCTTGATAAGAAATGTACTCATTATCTTGCCCATCTAATTGTAACCCCTCTGTAGTATTTTCACAATAATAAATAAATAAAAATTTAAAAAAGTCTTTCCAATTCATAACAAATAGGGCAATGTTATTCTTTCTGATGGAGGCATAGAATTCCATTATATATTTGTGGTTTTATATTGATTATTTTTAAGCTTTTGAACATTCATGAAAGATAATACATAAGTAGCTGATATTTCTATAATGCATCCTACACATATTATATGAATTGCTGTGTACATACTACAATAAGTCCATGTTCTTTAGTAGTAAGAATTGGTGAGAATAGCCATGAAAGCCTTTGTCAGGCAAAGGGTAAAGAGCAGAGGACAGAGACTGAATAAAGTTGTTTAGAATTCAAAGGGTCCAATTGTAAAAGAATCTGTAAAAACTATATGGAATTTGTTTCTCTCTTGACCTCTGCCCTTCTGAACCTCACATGATGTAGCTGGTCAGTTTACAAGAAAGATCTTTTTAATGTTAGCTCAAGCCTCATATGTTCTATAGCACATGCATTGTATCATGGTCCTAACTTCATTACATTTGTCTTCCTAATTCATTCTCTATCATACTAAAGAAGAGAGAACATGAATCAGTGATATTCAGGCTGAGAAGAAATTGTACTGCTTTGAACCTTAAACGATTTTTTTCCACAACATATTATTTTACTGATTGAAAATTTATTCTTCTAAAATAAGAAAATAGGCAAAGAACTGCCGAAATTGCTGTTTTTCCTCTTATCTGCCACTGCTTTAGAGTAATGTAACAAAATGTAAGAAAACCAAAAAAGAGAAAAGAGAAAGAAGCCCTTGAGCTCAGCTGCAGTAAAGAGAAAAAAATGCCATTTTAATTTCTGTATTTACAAATATGGAAAAGTGATTTAAGCAACTTCCTAGTCACATTAGTGGGAAGATATGACAAACTATATATGAAAGTGAGAGTTGCCAGGATGGTTTGTAATGAAACTGTCAACACTGTTTTTAAGAGGCCCAGCTGGATGCTGGTACAGTCTCTGGGATCTCAGACTTTGATTGCCTTTCTTTATTGAAGGGCTAACATCAACCACAGGTGGTAAGTGGTAACCAATTATACTTCCACCTGAAAAATTAATAGCATTGTGCAGTCTGACAGTCTTGGCTTGTGTGTCTTAACTATTAACCCACTGTTCCTCTCTCCCCTACCATGAGGATACATTAGATTCAGCAGCTGGAGCTGATCAGGGAGCCCAAACATATGCCCATTTCTTTTCCATTGAGCTGTGTGGAGTCCCAGTGACACTTGACAAGAGTCAGTCTTCCTCTGGAAGTCACCCCCTTCAGTAGGACCTGCTTCCTGCCTCTGCCTTGGCCACCAGCATAGGTATGTGACATTAGTGCTGCTCACAAGTATCCATAAGACTCCGCTGCAGTTGGCAGAGACCTGGAGTTATCTGAGCTGCATATCTTTCTGGCTTGATATCCCTGAGACAGGAAATATAAAGGCAGCATTAAATTGAGTGTACTATCCTCAATGACCTGAAGCCACTTTGGCTTGAGACTTACAATTCAAAATTTATACTATAGCTCATTTTTAAATTTCTTTCCCAGTGCCCTGCCTCCTGTTTTCTCCTGACTTTTCTTGTTGTTGATTATAAGTCCATACACCTGTCATTTTTTGGGGGGGGGGTATGGTTGTGGGGCCTGAACTCTGGGCCTGGGCACTGTCCCTCAGCTCTTCAGCTCAAGGCTAGCACTCTACCACTTGAGCCACAGTGCCACTTCCAGTTTTTTTCTTTTTTTTGCTTATATGGGGCTGAGGAATCGAACCCAGGGCCTCATGCATGCAAGGCAAGCACTCTACCACTGAGCCACCTTCCCAGCCCCTACACCTGTCATTTTGAGACAAGTATTCTTGAGTGGAAGTATGGATTACTGCAATAATCTTCTAAATGCAGTGCGCAAAGACCCCCTATTACTAGCATAGTCCAAAGTGTTCAACTGAGTTAGACTACTTGTCATAGTACATTTTTTTGTATGGGAGTTTATAAAATTTCTCTATTTCTACATTAAATCTGATGCAATTCATGGCTAGGTAACTGTGTCAAGAGGCAAAATTGAGGTGAGCTCCAAAGCAGTTTTTCCTTAGTGTGTTTGTGTGTGTGTGTGTGTGTGTGTGTGTGTGTGAAGGACAGAGAGAGGGAGAGAAAGAGAGAGAGAGAGTCCTGGGACTTGAATTGTCTGGAGGCTGTCTCTTAACATTTTCTGTTTAAGGCTGAAGCATTTGAGTCACAGCTCCACTTCCAGCTTTTTGGTGGTTAATTGGAGAAATGAGTCTCACAGATTTCCCTGTCTTGGCTGGTTTCCAACTGAGATTCTCAGATTTCAGCCTCCTGAGTAGCTAGGATTACAGATGTGAGTCATTAGAGCCGAGTTGCCCTCTCTTTATCTTTGTATTTCCATATTTTAGAAATACACTT